AGCAGAGGAGATTGCTATGGGGCATCGCCGAGTGGTTTGGGCTTTTCCCTTTTTGGTGTCGCACTGGCCAGGAGGGCGGCTCTGGTGTGTCTTTAACCGCAGCGGAGTCGGTGTTTGTCTCCAAAAGGAGGCGGTTTAGGTTTCACCGGCCCCACCTGACGGGAATTTGAGCAGGCACTAAAACTAGGGCTGCTTGTGCCTTTGTTATCGGCGTTATCTGCCCGGCCGTGGGGAGCGGGGGAGCCCCCGGGACCGGCACCAGGCAGCCCCCGCCTCCCAGGGCTGAGTCACCGGCCGGCCGAGCGCGTGTGCTGCTGGAGTGACGGCAGCGGTGAGACCCAAAAAAACCCCGAGCACTGATGCTTTTAATGACAGGCGAATAACACAGCCCCGAAGAAGATTCATACCGTGCATACCTCATCTGATGGCTATTAGCGGTGACTAAGGCTGAGCTGGGATGGAGCAGCCACAGCCTCCCCCCATCGCCCCAGTCCCGGAGTAATTAATTCTGCAGGTACCCGTATCGGCACATTAACCCAAACTGGCCATGTTCCCACCTCTCCCCAGCCTTGTTCCATATTTAATCTTTCATGTTCACCTGAGTCTCTAATTAAGCCAACTGCAATCCCTCAGCGTGCTGGTGATGGCTGGTGTTCCTGAGCGCTGCCTACGGGAGACCCCAGAAACAACCCCTGGGCTGACGGGTTTTCCTTCTTCCTTTTTAAAAAACTATTTCTTTCCCTTGAACTAACGCTGGTCCTAAAGCAGGGTCCGAAGTGGGGGCCCCATTGCAGCAAAGTTCTTAGCAACAGATTTGTGGGGACTGTCCTTTTTTTCTACCTTTTTGTGTTTTTTTTTTTTTTACAGCAAAGTCGTGACAGTTTAGTTTGAGGTATCTGAAAACCACTTTTATTTGGTTTCTTTTCCCTGGCTGTCCAGAGAGCTCATCCCTGGCTGAGGCAGGGCAGTATGGAAACCCGTGTGCTGTGTCCCGAGCCACCAGCCAGGCACCTGGCCGAGGAGCAGGGGCAGGAGCAGCCGCCCGGCTGCTTTCCTATTCCAGCATCTGGTTAAAAATAACCCCCATGAATGGGGTTCTGATTTCCCTCGGCTGCCGCGGGTCTGGGCGCTGGGGAGGGACGGGCGTTGTAAATAGCACGGCATAGCCATGGCAACCCCAACTTTTCATTATTGCTAATGACTCGCGCGGTGCCAGAGCCGCGCATGGCGCTTCCCGGGGCGGATAAAGATAGATCCCCCCCTGCAAAGCCTCTCCAAACGACACGGAGGCAACGGCGAGCTCCGGGGAGGCTGGAGCCGGGTCTGGCAGGCAGCGACGGAGACATTTTGTGAGGAGTCGGAGAGGAGCCGGGATTTAAAGGAGGAGGGACCGGCTCGGCCGAGGGGCAGCTTTTCTGCTGAAAACACCTTCCCCGAGTGTCAGGAAATGGTTCGGAGGGGCCATAGCAGCACAGATGGCTGGGAGAGCAGGGGGAGGAAAGCGACAGGGAGAGGGGCTGTCCTGTGCCCCAGCACTGGCTTTTCTTCCCTCCCTGTGACAGTGATCAAGAGAGCACAGAGGGGAGGAACAGACAGTGGTGGTTGTCACTGAGAGGACAGGGATCTGTTGGTGTTGGCTGGAGCACTGGTGGAACCTCCTGCAGGAAGCCTGCTCTGGTTCCAAACCAGTGCAGCTGAGCCTGGGCTCAGCTGGCACCCTTTGGGTGGGTTTTGGTTGGTTGTTGGTTGTGTTTTATTTTATTGGAAATGGTTTGAAAGCTCTTGGGCGAAGAGTTCCCTGTCCATCGGCCAGTCTGGCAGCAGGTAGACTTGTACCCCAAATCCTGCTGTTGGTGTCCCCAGGGACTGGTCGCTCGCCCGTCCTCGTGCAGCGGGTGTGAGCGGCCGGTTGTGCCTGGGTGGGCTCCGCGTGGCTGTGGCCATGCTCCCTGTGCCTCCCCCAGGCCCTGGTCCCACCTCACTCATGAGCCTGGTGCAGGCACAGACGGAGCTTTTCATTCCTGTGACTTTTCTGGCCCTTCTCCTGCAGCACATTGTGTTAGAGCCTGGCAGTTAAAGGTAACAGGAGCAGCAGAGAGGCACTGACCCTGGCACAGGCGTGCCGGCACCCGGTTACCTCCCCTGCTTGGGAGGTAACCTGTGAAGGGGGAAAATCCTACTTGAAATATCCCAGCCCCACTTCCCCACCACCCTGTGCTCTCTCACTTACCTTGGAAAGGTCTCTTCCCTGGTTCCCCCCAGCCAGTTAAAGATTGCAGTTCCTGCCTTTCCAGAGACCTCCTCTCCCCAGCGATTTCCAGATGGCCCAATTATTTAGCACTGCCCAAAGCACAGGGCTCAGCCACAGCTTGGATTTGGGTAGTTCTGTTTGTTTGGGTCCCTCTGGGGCAAAGGAATGTTGCTGAAGTTTGCCGAGCGGGGAAGTCGCTGATGTCGGGGTGGTCACAGCAGGATCTGGTGTATTTGGCTCACCTGCATTTCTGTACAAGTCCCAGTGTAGGAGCCTGGGCAAGAGGAAAGGTAGTTTGGCTGTTTTTCCTAGCTGTCTTCTACCATTGAACAAACCTTCCCAAGATTTACAGCTTGCTTTGTCCCTTCCCTTGCCACTCTGTCTCTACAGTCTCAATTCTTACAGACTTTAATCTTCAACATGCAGTTTATTACTGCTGCTTTTCTTTAAATAGTAGCATTTTCTAGGTAATTTAGTGGTCACATCCATACAGCTGCTCTCGTGCTCTTCTCTCTCCTCTCTCATGGCAAGAAGCTGATGGAGATAGATACAGGCGGCTGCGTGACCTTTACAGACTCACTCAGAGTCCAGGAATGCAGATGTAAGATTGTTTCAAGCCATTTTCATTTTATTACAAACCAAAATACTTCACTTTTGGTGGCACCTCTGGTACACAGGATGAAAAAAAAAAAACCCCAAAACAACCACCCAACCCCTAAACACCTTAAACAGGTATCAGTATAGTTGTAGCTCAGTTAGGCTTGTCCACAGGAGATCCCAAACTTGAGAGCACCCAACACCCCACTATTTTGGCCATTAAGTTACGTACGGGATGTTTTTTCAGCACTGTACATTGGCAGAAGCTGTTTGATAAAGACTCTACTGTTTAGTAAACCATGCCAAGCTGCCCCTGGAAAGAACCCTCTTCCTCATCAGCTGTTTTGTCCTGGAGCTGTGCTGTGGGTCACCTGTGGTGACAGGGAGTTGTGTGTGTGCAGGAACTTGCTGCACCTCCTCGCTGCGGCGTCGCTCAGCTGGGAACCTTGCTGCTGCTGAGAAGGTGGCGTGGGGAGAGCCAGGCCCCACGGGCAGGCAGGGAGGGCTGCAGTGTGCCTGGGCTGCTCTGGGGTGCTCTTCGCTCGTTATCTTTTGTGAGAGAACGTTGGGGTGCTGGGTGGCTCTTCATTTACGCCCCGGAAGGCTGCTGGGGTTGTGAGGTGCAGCCTTTCCAACGAATCCCTTTAAAGCAGGGGATTCTACAGGACCTGACAACTGCGAATCAAGCAGCGAGCAGATGAAGCTTATTGGTTTTTACAGTGCTCTCATGCTGTGATATGTGCTAATATCACATAAAAGTAACAACTGTTGAGGAGCTTCCCTGCAATGTCCTTTCCCATCCTTTATCACAATTAAGTTAGAAAGACTGGACCACTGCAAGCTCTATTTTTACACCCTTGGGCATGTGCTATGTCTTTTGAAAGCTGCCATGGCTTCAGGAAGCAGTACAAGAAGGGAGGGCACTGTATTTCTAGAGCCCTATGCTCTAAGTGTGACTTTCATTACGTGCTGCTCCTCTGTCCTTGTTCCCTGTCACTGTCAGAATAAAAGTACCCTGATCCTCTCTTTAGCTATGAGAGGTGTGAGGAATGAATGCCCCTTCACATTTAACATCAGCTTATATGGCATATGATTCTTCCCAGCACTATGTGGCAGCGTAATTCTGACAACAGCAGTGTTAAACAGCAGAGGCAAAAGGAAAGCAGACAAAGAAATGTCAGCATTCACAGGGTTTAACAAAGCTCCCTGCTTGTTTCTACAAAAAAATCAAAAAAAGCCCCAAAAGATTTTAAACAAAAGGAACCGTCCTTCATTCGACGCTGTTAAAATCTTTGTGTTGCCAAAGTGACTTCAAAGCTTCTCCACATCTGTCTGCTGCAGCCGAGGCACCGAGGTCTGTCCTCAGGCTTTTGTGATGTACCCTTCTCTGATGAGGAAGTCGTAGATTTTCCTGGTTTTGTTCACATCGATCTTGATGAGCGCTCGAGCCTGCGCCAGTCTCAGGCCTCCTTGTTTGTTACACTCGTTCACCAAAGCAGCTTTATACTCTAAATAGGCTCCAGGGACCAACCTCACCATCTGACAGAGCTGGAAGACAAAAGGTGAAGTTAATAAACACTAACGCTTCTCACACGCTTCCACGCTGTGATCCCTGTTGGGGGAGTAACATCCAGAATATTTTTCTGGGATGGTTTTCAGTGTGTTTTTTTTGTATAGGGGGGAAGCACGCAGCAACTGCCTGATGAGCTGCTTCGATCCACAGGTAGGGAGGGGAGGAGCTTGCTGGCTGCTGCATTCAAAAACATTCCTGACTCAAAAATAAAGCAGGAGGATGAAAGCAAGCTCTCGACTCACAGGAGCGTAACCATGAGTGTGTCCTGTGTGGGCGTTGTTCTTTACAAACCCAGGGAAGCACACACATGCCACAGAGCCTCGCAACCGGCAGTTCGGCTGGCTGGACGGGAGCCAGGGAGGGCAGCTGCCTCCTAATCCCCTGCAGACTCTAATACCTTGCTACAAAGGCAGCTCTGCACACAGCAGAGCCCAGGATGGCAGTGGAGTGTTTGGAAGTTTGGGAGAGGGAACTGCCTCCCCACCGCCCCGCGCCGCTCCGGCTGTGTCCAACCCAGCCTCCCTCTGGACGACGTGCAGGACCAGGCTGCCCCCTCCTAACAGGGAAATGCTTAATGATTCTGATAGGAAATTGCAGAACTTGGAGGAACTCAGACTTCATGTCTCAGCTGACGAGGAAATCAGATTCCCCACACAGGCTAATGTCCTAGTGCCAATTATTTCTGTGCCGAGTGGAGCCAGAAGTGCCGTGTTCCAGGGCGAATCTGGGAGCTGAGCTTTGGTGCTGCCATCTCCAGTGAAGGGGAAGCAGCTTCCACACGCAGGAAATCGGCTGAAACGCACCAAAATCTGCCTTGTGGACAATCAGAGGGCAGATTATGACTTCTATGAAAAGGAAAAAAAATCCCAACTCTTGTATTGCAGTAGTCCTGCAGCATTGCCTGTCACTGAATTAGGACCCAGTCTGTGGGGCTGCAGAGGGCAGCGAGACGTGGCTCCACAGCAGGCCCCTCGCTGTGCTGTCCCCCCCCACGGGGGCTGCAGCCCCATTCCTGCCCCTGGCTGACCCTCCCTGCACCTCCCATCCCCTCAGGTGCCTGTGCAGCACTCTGCCCAGGGCTGTGAGCCACACACTGAGCTCAGGACCTGCGGCTGGAAGCGAGCCAGGCTCCACTCTGCCACACGTGTGCACAAAAAGCCTGGTATGGGCACTATGAGGCAAACATGGAAATAAGATGAAAAAGAACAATGTGCTGTTATTGCCTCTGTGGTTCATGTTAGTGTCACAGTGAAAAACCCACTGTAACTGGTTGAGGTTTGCTGTGAGATTTATATCATGTCAGAAGAGCTCTGCTGTTCGGGTTCACGGAAGTCTTTCAGGAAATCCTCTACTACTTCTAAACCCAATGTTTGTTAAGAAAAAAAAAACCCTCTTTAGTTCACCCCAGTCTGACAAGGGAGGAAGAGAGGAGGTCACACTCTGGATGTTCTAACAGCACCTTGGTGTGCTCCACCTTTCTCTGCTAACTAAGCTGCCTTGCTGCAGCTACGCTGCGTGTCGTACAGTGACGGAGACTGAGCCCGCAGCAAAACCCGAGCGAGTCCTGTCAGCTGGCGAGAGGAGCCAGGGCACAGAGCTGAGGTGATGTGCACAGCACCCCAGACAGACGGTGTGAACACCCCCCAGTGTTCTGCACAGACCATCTTCCTGTTCCCCTCCTCACCTCCTTCTCCTTCTCGTTCAGCTTCTCGGTGCCCGGGAGCCCTGTGAGGTTCAGCGGCGGGGCGCTCCGTCTGCCTGCGGGGACAAGGAGGGAGAGCACTGGAGAACTCTGGGCAGCCTGGTGGTGGCTGTTCCTTAGGTGTGCTATTGCAGGGGCAATGAAATCCCCGTGGGGGTAGCCTGGTACCATCCGAGTGTTTATGGACAGGGATATTTAGGGCTCAGCACAGAAATGGCACTGATCTGATAACAGGCTGTCGTTAAGGGCTGGGAATACTTGCACCAGGACTCTGGCTGTCAACCCTGGCTCGCTGGCTTTTAGGAGGAGCTGTCAGACAACAGCTTTCTGTCACACTGTTGCCAACTGTTTAGCTGGTACCTCCTGAGGGAACCCGGGGTCAGTGCTGGGGGCACTGGCTCCCAGCCGTGGGGCAGCCGGCGCGCTGTGAGGATGCAGGGGTTGTTTATTGGTGAGATCCTCACAGTGAATTTCTCTGGTGTTACTGGCGACTTCACAAAGCAGTTTTCTTTAAATGCCTTTACAAATGATGCAGGTATTGTAAAGGAAACACCATTTGTGGATTTATTTTTGTGTGTTATGATAAATGGTGCTGAAAGAAATCTCCATCACAAGGTAGCCTGTTGTCACTTTTGGTACTGTTTATAACTTTCCTGAACTTCAGTTGGTGCAGCTGAAACTTTTGTGAGGGCTCTCTACTTGCAGGTTTGGGTTTCTTTTCCTAATAATTTTGTTTTTTTTTTTTAAACTTCCACATCTCAAAGCCAGGGTTATTTATTTGCATTTTTAGGATGTCTGCTGCCCTGTGCCGTGAGTTGCATATTTAGCACTGTTAAGGGAGAGGTCTCTTTAGCCTGGGACAGACTCCCCAGGTCTGGCAAACCGATGAGATCTTGGGAAATCTGCAGCTCCACTTTTCCCAAGGTCTGTGCTGGCCACTGCTCCAGACCTTGCCCTGTCTGGGTCCTACCCCTGGGACTGGGGAGTGTCTCTCTCTCCTGTGCATATGTAGGAACCAGATGGGGGTCTGGGTGAGGGGAGCCTGATCAGAGAGAACTGAAAGGCTAGAGAGACACTGGAATAGTGACTCTCTGGTAGGTGTAGACAAAGTTACTTCTGAGCTTTGCTCTGTCCTTCTATGGCCTGGAGAGACCATGCTATGAGGAGACATGACTCTTTTATAAACCTAGGAGATGATGCAAACACACAAACTACACTAAAGAAAGCATTAACACTGCAAAGCCAAGCTCTCAAAAGCACAGAACCATAGAATGGTTTGGGTTAGAAGGGATCTTAAAGATCATCTAGTTCCAAACCCCCTGCCATGGGCAGGGACACCAACTCAAGGAGTAAAGTTATGCAACATTAAATTGCCCTCTTGTATATTCACTATGAAGCAGCCTTTAATTACAGGGACACGTGGCAGTTTTCCTGCAGTATCCTTCTCTTATTCAGTATGCAGGATGTTTGTTTAATTAACAACTATATGGTATTTTGTTTGGGTTTTGTTCAACATGTGATAATGGCTGTAAACACTATATGCTATTGGAGGTCCACGGGCAAAACAATTCATGTTCTCTCGGGCTCTTCTTTATGGGCCACCAAAGACTTGACAGAAAAAATGAATGTACTTCTTCACACCAGCCCTTCAGCTGGGGGATCCTGTCCCTGTGTCGTGGAGTCTGGCTGCTCAGCCTGAGACACACAACACTATCTATCTTCTCTCCAACACACCAGACCCTAGTGATACATCTGAAGCCCAGTGCATACTGCCATGACCAATGGCCTGCTTCTCTGACCCAGATTGCCAAGGCTCCTGGCAGAAGTGAGGAAGATATAGACTTGGTGTCCACCTTTGAGGAATTGGGTTCAACTGGTTTATTAGCAGCCATGTAAAATCTGGATGTAGTGACTGAGCTAAGAGCCTGTTTTCCCTGGCAGCATTTAACAGCCTTATAGTAAAACTTCATCCTTGTCCCATTCATTGCGTGCCACGCCGTGAGGTCAGCAAATGAGATGGGGTTTTATAGAAGGCTTGCTCATGAGGGCCTTAACTGACCCCTGAATGTGGCCTTACTTGGCACTAAAAGAAGCAGGGGTCTTCTTGGTGGAAAAAAAAATGCAATTTTTGATGGCAGAACTAAAGAATATAAAAGCATATTCACACAAAAGGAACATTGAAGTTGCACAGGCACCCTGCATCAACTCATCCTGTCACTCTGCAGTGCTGGATGCTACAGCCACTGTCTGCTTCTCAGGGAAATGTTTTTTGGTGCTCTGCCCTCCCAAATCTGCTGTATGTCTGCTTCGTATTGCTATGGTATGTGCTATACAGCTTTGTTAAAAACCTACATTATCCTTACCTTTCAAAGATTAGATTTTGGTCTTATGTGAAAATTCTTCTCTTTCCTGCCTTGTTAATATAGGATGGGTTTTCCAACTGTAGTCAGAAAAATCCAGAAATTCAGCAAAAACTCCTACAGTGGAATGAGTTGCAGATTGAGGTAGTGTTCACTTAAACAGTGCTTCACCACGAGGCTGGAGGACTGGTGCTTCAGCACTCAAGCAGAAATGTCCCTCTCCTGCTGGCTGGCAGAATGCTATTACTGATGTATGGCTGGCTTTTGATCACAGACCACCATCTAACAGTTACCTGAATTTGAAGGAGCTGGTACCGTGGGGCTCAGGCCGGAGTCACTGAAAAGAAAGGAAATTTTCAAATTACCTTCATGTTTGTTTGGTTTTTTTTAACAAATAATGGCACATATTGGCCCTGAAACTGCTTTGTCCCCAAGTTCTAATAATAACGCAACTCAACCGCCGTAACCTGGGCCCTGATCTAAAGTCAGCAGGATTTCTAAATATCTAGCACTCCCAGGCTGAAGACTGGCTGAAACTTCTTTTTCTTAAAAAAAAAAGAAAGGCAAGGGGAACGACACACAATAAAGAATTCAGTGGAGACTGACTCGGGAGTTACAAACCCTCTGCCCAGGCCAGATGGGCACACAGGATGCGCCTCCTTAAATCAAAGTGCTTGTGCAGGGTGACTACACATTAATAATGCTGCTACATCTAAAATCATCTGAAACATTTCGAGTGTCATCTGCGCCCTCATTAAGATCCAGACAGACCTCATTTCCCTCCATGACTTTATTAACAGCTGTTAAGTCCCTGAAATCTAAACCACAGAAAGCTGAGCTGCTGCTAGAGCCTTGCCCGCGCTTCAGGGGCGCTGTCGCTGTTGCCCACAGCTTCTTGCCCTTCTGAACTGTGCAGACTGTTCCTCCTGTAATGAACTGGGAGTGTGTGTGTGTTAACACACAGAGGAACGTGTCTGATGCCCCTGGCTGAAGGGCAGGTGTGAGAAGCAGTCTGACTGTGCCCGTACATGTCTGCCTGCCTGCTGAGCCACTGCTGGCAGGCGCTGCTGTCCTGGATGTACTGCAGGACTTCGGAGAGCATCGTGCGCTTCAGGCGTTCCTCCTCCCTGCTCTTCTTCAGGTGGTCATAGGTTCTGGCACCTGCAGTGAACAGACACCACGTTCTCACCAGCTGCCTCGGTCACAATCTCCAGACTGTTGTTTTTCTACTTTAGGAAATAAGTGAGAAGCTGTTCTCTAGCTCTGGACCAGACGCTGCTATTCTCTCTCATGACAACTGCTTGGCATGGGAAGGTATTAGATTCCACCCTGTGCTCCTCCCCTCCATTAATTTCAGGCCAAAACCAAACAAAAAAGGCTGCCAGGATCCAATTCCAGGGTAAACCAGGCCATCCAGTTATGTAGAGGTCTTAAGCCTCTCTCCAGATACCACACTTTTTGCTAGGTGGTGAAAATGTCCAGAGATAAAGCACTGGAGACCACTGTGCCATGACATGTATTTATTTTTCTGAATCTTCTGCAAAGTGGTGGCTAAAGCAGAGCTCTGGCAGACAACATGTTCCCCAGGCTGATGGCTCAAAGGAGCTTTAAAAAAGCACAGCTGGACTGAAGCATTATTGCTAAAGCCTTGCTCTGTTAAAGAGCTAGGCAAGTGCAGTTCAAAAATAAGTGCCTTTTTATTCAACACGTGCTAAATGTTGTAAAATTACCCTTCCACACCTTGATGAATGGGAATGGGCTGAATAATGCATCAGGTACTTACTGCAGAAGTTGGTGATTCCTGCTGCTCGGTATTCCTGCAGCCGCCTTATTTCCCTCCGCAGCTCAAATTCCACTGGTGTGCCCCACGAGCAAGCAGAAGGGAAATCCAAAAAAACACATGTGGGTCAGTGGGGTGGCAGTGAACTGTGGTGTACCACAACATTCCTGTTTCTCATTTGGCTGCGTGGTTGGGCTGTGAAGTGTGTGGAGCCACAGACAGGGTTCACCCCTCTGCATCAGACCTCGACCTCGCTGTGCCTGGCGCTCCCTGATCACAGATTTAAGTGGGTTTCTAGTGTTTGTGTGCTCAGAGAATTTATTTTAACTCCACGCTTTGACAGTTCCTTTGCCATGTGCTGGACAAGGCAAATAATAATGTAGGATTTCTGGAAGGTATTTCAATAGGTTTGAAAAACTACTCCATCCAGGCTCCTTACAGCATCTAATATCGTCTTTGAAGTACGATTTTCATAACTGGACCTTCCAAAATTTTTCCTTGCAGACAACTCTTTTTTGGCAGTCAGTAAGATTAAACACCCGTGTTTCTTTGGCTCAGAGATATTTACTGCCTGTAGCTTTTATCAGCTGGCTTCCAGGCACAGCTTAGTTTTACAGTGAGCAAGTTTGCTCGTCTCAAATTTGTTTACTCTTACTCCTCAGGAGATCTGTGTAATCTGTGTGCTTCACTGTCAGGTTAACTTGAGGACTTTGCTGACACTACAACAACAGAAGTAGGTTCCAGGACTAGCATTCACACAGGAGACTCAGGATTTTGCAGGATCATACTCCTGGTATTTCACAGAGGGTGTCCTGAAAATACAGTCACAGCTGTTTAAATGCTTTGTTCCTTCTAATGAGTGACAATTTTCCCAGTTTAAGTCACAGAATTAAGCAGGATGTAGTGACTCGTCCTGGAATTTGACTAAATGCATTGCTGTGATCACACAGAGACCTGAGGTGATTCGGTGACAGAACAATGCCTCTTCCTTCAGGGTAAGGGAGATAATGACCCCTCTGCTATATAATTATGTACACATATAAGAGTTCAATGTGTATCTTTCACAGAATTCACGGTTTGCTGCCAGCTACCTCTCTCTCCATACAGATGTAGATTTTAGGGATTTAGTTCTTTTGGTGATACAGAGTCCCAGTAAATGGCTAGTGGTCTTTTGAGAAGAAAATGCTACTCCTAACACATGACCAGAATGTCCAGTCAGCTGAGAAATCAAACAAAGAACTCAGATACAGTTCACTGGAAGAAAACACTTGCTGCTCACTTAATATATCAAACCACAAATGTATTTGTTTTTCTGAGGGAGTTAGATTGGGGAGGAGCAGAAAAACAACCTCCTGCCCTCCAGAAGCAGTATGTATTTAGGAAGGATTGTAGATGATGCAAGCTCTCATTATGCCTATTGGAGAACATCCATGCTAAGATCCTCGAGACACTTACACGCGTGGCTTTCGATGAACTTGTCGTGCTCCATCGGCCCAAGAATCCGTGCAAACCGCCGCATTGTTTCATAAAGGTCTTGAACTTCCTTTGGGTATCGCCTTTCCAAAACTGGAGGGGGGAAAAAAAAGAGTGACACACCTCACCACTCCTACCACGAGCAGAGAAGAAATTCAGTGGAACCTGAAGCGACTACCAGCCTCTGTGAACTGCCCAAAGATCCAGATTTGGTACACGCTTCTCGGCCACTTTGGTGTCACGACTACAAATTGCTGAGCAAAAAGCAACAAAATTACACAGCCCTCAAAATGCTAAAAGCATCAAGGATGATATTGAAATGTTGTTTGATCATTTCCCAGAATAGTGAGATGCACTTAAAAGGCCTGGATGTCACCTTCACCCCTCTCCTTCCTCTGTGGAGACCGAAATGCTTCCGAAGAGCAATTCTGAGGCAATAACTGAAACACTGAGCTGGGAGCAGTTAGAGCCAGCTGGCTGGAAACGGTCAGGGCAGGAAACCTGCTGGAATTCAGACCATCTGAATGTGGTCCAGTATGAACAAACCACACTGCTGCACTGGAAACAGTGAATGTGTGAAGCTTTGCTTCCTGAGTACAGGCCACTTCAAAGGTAAGCAGTTACACCAGATACTCACTCTGAAATTTTCTGAGGTTGATGAGGCCATGATCTCTTATAATTCTGGAATTGAGAGCAAAATGGTATTAATAAGAGGCATTAACTGCTTTTATTACTCCACATATACAAAGACATCAGAAGAAACTTTGATTTAGATCATCAGGGGTCTAAAACTAAAACATGTTTGAAATTTCCATAGCCCTTGAGCTGGCCAGCTGAGAAACATGATGTAGTGACGTAGTGTGGCTTTAATCAGGGTGAATTTTGAACAGCACGGTGTGCATTAGCCCAGCTCTGACAGCACTAAGTACAAAGGGAGCTACAATTGCTTTAAAGGGTTGAAATTGCTTCTTTAGGCACGGATTTCACATCTACAGTGTTTTATAACCTGTCCTTCCAAAATTGGAGGTACAGAAATGTCTCACAAAGCGTGATTTCCAGCTTCAGAGAGAGACAAACGTCCTTCTGCCAGAGCAAGGGTGAGAGCTGGACTGTAAATTTCATCACTGGGAGCAGGAGGAAGGAATTTTCCTATGACAGTTTAGATTTTAAAAAGAGGGAAATGATCTGGGCAACTCATACATCTGAAATGCTCCTGACAGGATCAGGGAAATGAGCAGAGTAAAAAGGCAGGTGAGATATTTACAAGTGCATGACAAATACATTTGTCACAGGTTTCAGCAGATGTCATGTGGTCACTGCTACGTGGCCATTCTATCAACACCTGACTTTTGCAAATGATAAGAGATACTACAAAGTTGGGCTTGTCAAGGTCAGGTTGGAATTTGGTCTATAATTTTAATCCATTACATTTTCCTTAGGACAAGGGACTATTCCTGACCCATGCAGAGAAGGCTTTCTGAGAGTGACATCAGCATTTTTATGTCATTTTCCAGATTTTTGTCCCAGCCTGCTGTAGAAACTTTACCAAACCTGGCACCAATTTCAGTTATGTAACAGAACCTTCCTTTCTTTCCACATGATGTGATGCATCATAATGAAAATTCCACCACATAAATATTTCTATTTATGAATTATAAAGAGCCAGGTCAATACATACTAACTCTTACCTGTCATTCAGGAGAACTATGCTGTATTACAAGGACAAGTTTTGTCCAAACTACTAATTCTTCCACCAGGGAGTAATATAGCAATTTATAATTTTAAATATTGAAAAAATTATTTGAAAGTTATATAAAAATTGAATTTAATGAATAGATTGAGTCATTTTAGAAAACTGTCAAATGAACTGAATAAATTATTCAAATTCCCATCAGCAATAGTTATCTTTATTACACATTGTGGAAAACTAACTTATGGACCACTAAGAATGAAAAATGACGCAAACATTTTTATGGAGAACGTGGGGGTCTGGCAATTAGTCACAGACTGGCAGCTTTTTTTTTTCCCCTCCCTCAAGTAGAAAATTAATTATGTACAGTCCATCAGCAGTATGTAGGGAACAAAAAGAACAGAGATTTGCCTTTTTATTTTCTGGTTCCTAGCCCTGGATCTAGATGGTGTTTCAGTTTCCCTTCTGCAACATGGCTCTGTGATCTCCTAAGGTGTGCCAGAAGCTTCGTGATTTCTCTGTAACTGCATTTGGGGTACTTGTATGAAGAGCACTGTGTACATGACTTTCATGCACTAAAAAGGACTGGAAAATGGGCTTTCCACAATTAATGACTTGTTTTGAGAGTGTTTGTGGTGTGTAGAGATCCCCTGTCAACCTCGTGGACAAACAAGTGTCAGGGTCTGTTCATCTGCGTTTCCTGGGCCGGTACGTTGCTACAGCCACGTGCCTGATCTTAACCTGTGCACAGGAGGAGAACCACACCTCTGAGCTGAAGCCTCTCATGCAAACCTCACAGCAGGGCTCCGTGCATGGGAATTGTCTGCAGGATGCTATAGGAAATCAATTACATTTAGTATCAGGACAGCACCAAGGGTCAAACCATGGTAATGAAGCAAAAGAACACAGGTCTTGCTTGAACACTCACTTTTTTCTTCTCTGTCTTTCCTTTAACCTGGAATGATAGATATCTACAACTGCAATCTTCAGAGCTGCAAAATAATAATAATAATAATAATAATAATAATAATACAGAAGTAATCACTGTATTAGGCTAATTTTCAAGCCTTTATGTTGATGGCAGGCTGAAATGGTCATTCTATTTTGCTGTTTTGAAAATCCTGTGGCAATTTGACAGGGGCATAAACTCCCTGGAGGCTAACCTCCTGCAGACTACATGTGCTACCTCTAGAAGCTTTCTTTTGCTTAATCTTCCCAAACACATTGCTGCCTGTAAATATGAACCTGGGTAGATCCTGAGAAATCTTTTCCTCTTCCTTCTTGGAGTGTTTTACTATTAGCCCTTGATTGCACGCATGAAGGAACAAATATTAAGTACTCCTTCTCCTGAAAAGCAAGTTTATCAGATTTAAAGACCTGAGGTATCGTCTTTGGACAGAGTCTTCTTTACACAGAACAAGGAGCTCAAAAAAAAAAGAAAAAAAAAAGACAGTTCTAAACTGTGAAGATTCAAAGTAGCCTTTGCTACAGTTCTTAAAACATCTAGAGGGATTTAGCTTGTTAACTTCTAAACTTCTCTGTCTGCCAGAAGAACACAAAGAATAGTTCATGGCAATGTGAAGAATCACAGGAAAAAGCCATGCTCATTAGAAATCATATCCTTCTCAAAATCAAATCTGTCTGCAGTCTGGCTGAGCCCCTCAGAGATCCTTCAGCTGTGCTTTCCTGTAACCATTAGGTTAACGAACTTTTTTTGGTAAATTCCTGAAAGAAAAGATAAGGGGACACCTAATAACCTCCCCTTTCCTCGTTCTGTTAAATAATGCAAAAATTGTAGGTCATTAAATGAGCGTAGCATTGGCTGCTTTCCTGGCTGGCTTTTTCCTTTACATTAATCACTCCAATGTGCCCTCAGAAGGCAGAGGCTGAAGTCTTGCCCGTGGTTTACAGGCTGCAGGGACAACAGGCAGCTCTCTGAACTAAGCAAGTGCCCGTCCCCTTCCAGCCCATGGTGCTGTGTGAACAGGGGTGGCCCAATGCCACAGCACCCAGAACCCACTCCTCTCTCTGCAGCTACAGGAAAAGAGCAGAACCGACTCTGGCACTTTATTGACTGCACTCTCTGCTAAATAATTAATCATGCAATTAAGAAAGAAGTTGTAGTTACATGTCCGTTTTAAAATACGTATTTCTAGGTAAATCCCAGCAAGCCCTGAACCTCCTGGCAACTCATCTGTGCAGCCCTCTGAGTAATAAAACCTCCTATAGACAGGGCCAGCTATAGCCCAAAGGCTGAGAGTCTTTGCTCAGGAGCCAGCAGGTTGGAGTTACATTTGCTGATATCCTCTACTAGCAAAAAACCCTTCAGTTTACACCAAACCCATCTGATGTTCATCTTGGAAGAAAAGATCACATATAAAGATAGTGGTACAACAGTCTCACTTCTTTTTGCAAATTTCTTGCCCAACTGGAGTGTTCAAGAAGCCTCATGTATTTTCACAAGGAGATATTTAAGTCTCCTAATTTAAGAACAAGCACAGGGAGCAAATTCTTCCTCTTGCTTAAATGTGGGGACAAGAAATTGGGAAATGCAGCAAGTTAAACATGAATGAAATAGATTACTAAGTGTTGGAACCGGTGCCAATTTATGGAAAATATTTTTGTATTTTTAAGCCCTCTGCAAGCTAAGCTACCATGTTATTTTCTGGGGTTTGTGTGGGCAGGAGTTAATAAGTACATGCAGAAATTGCACTGGAGAACCTCTATAAATATCATGAGTAATTATGCACCTACAACCATTTTGGATGCTTTCACCTGAGCGCACAATATTCCAAAAGAAATTATGATCAGCTGGGAAGGGGAAGGAACATTCATGAGAACAAATGAAGGAAAGGAAAAAATGGAGCTTCTGCTTACAGAAAAATTAGTATTTGCTGCCACATGCACTTCTGGAGGGGCTTTTGTTTTTAATAGACGTATTCACACAGGAACAGCCGCTTACAAAATGTGGAATGCATGAATAACTCAGACCACTATCCTGCTACATGCTGCATTGGAATGAGAAGAGAGATGCTGTGAGAATGAAAATGATTTGCCTGTGCTTCTCCCCCTGGGCTGAGCCAGGGAGGCAGCTGGTCACATGGGTAACTTGAGATAATCTGAGCTGACACCGTGTTCAAGTGTCCATTCTGGGAGATGATAAGGCTCTTTGAGATGGTCAGGGTAGCTTTGAAGGATCCAGTGATAGGTGGAAATTCAAGCCCCTTTCCTTCATTCCAAAAAAAATCAAAATATTTGGGTTTCTCAAGAGTGTGTCCAAAATAGTTTCTTTGCTTTTCATTCTTCTTCAGCCTCATTTGGTCTGCAAGATCTTTTCTGAGCACTAATGAGCGAGACCTTTGTTTCATGCTAGCATGCAAGGCCCAAATAATGGGAAGAATGCAAACTAATCAAAGTAAACAGGCTGTGTATCAGTGTGTGCCTTGCCTGGTACAAACTTCATGGCTTCAGTCCAAATTCACCCTCCCTAGAGGAAAGCAGGACCCCAGGCAAACAGTGTATCTGCCTTCAGAGCATGTCAGGAACTTCCACAAAAGAATAAACATCATGTAATATTTAGAAGGACATCAACTGCCTTGTATCTCACAAAATGAAATTTCACTACCATGCAGCCAGAGTTGCAGTTTATCTCCACTCATGCTTAAACTTGTGCTTTCAGTGATGCCTTTCCAGTGTTTGAAGTGAAAATCATTTACATGAGAAGAAAAGGGGGAAAAAAAAAGCCAGGAATAAGAGAAATTACTAAGGTTCTCATTTGGTCTGATGAAAACTTGTAATTCATGAAATATTCAAGCACTCTGGGCTGAATCTGATTTGTAACTAGTTGTTTCTTTTGATCTGCCCATGACGTTTTTCTTAACTGCAATATGTCTTTGCATGCACTTGTAGTGCAAGCACTGAATGAACATTAACAGTTTGAGCAGTTAACTGAAAGATGAGAGATTTCATACAATTTCTACCACCTCACCAATACCAAGAAGTGACTGAACAATGCCTGTGCCCTCCTGTGTGGTGGGAGGAGCTGGTGAGCCAGCAGGTTTCTGTGCTGCTCATAAAGGCTGCCTGGGAGTCTCTCCACCTTGCATTTGTGGGAATGCTGAGAACTTGTTTAGAGTGACACAGGAAAATATAACAGGGAAAAAGTAATGATATCAGGAAACAGAGGTCAAGCAGCTTAGATTTAGAACTTTTTATAAAATGATTTTTACAAAACTTTAAGAAAAGCAGAGTGCTGTGGAGGAAAGGGCAGAAAGGGGACTTTGTTCCAATGAAAGCACCAAATATTCCAGTGTTACATGCAACCTGGACATTGCAGTGTTGATTTGTGACTTGTGAAATGAAAGAAAGAGGGACCACACAAATTATTCTGGCTGGTGTGTTCTCAGGGTCTAGCTTGAGTAACTTGCAGACAACAGAATATAAAAGTAGTTTTCAAAAATTAACCTTGAACCCAGTGAGTTTTAATATACAACAGGATATTTTTTCACAAACTTGATACTTAATCTAGGCTGCAAGACCCCATTTGGGTTTCTTCAGGCTATAAAATGTGTTAAAAACCCATTTTACATCTTTACCTTTAAAAAAAAAAGGTTGCTGTTTGGCCAGCACAAATGTGTCTGGAGCAGGTGTGGAAAACAGCCACAGGGCTGCTTTTCAAGGACACTTCTGTGAGATCTCCTGTAAGAACTTTGCCAGTGGGCAGGGCTGGGGTGGAGACAGGTTGGAGCTGCTGCCTGGGAGCAGTGGGACAGGCTACAAGAACCTGGGCCTGCAGGGCTGTCTCACAACCTCCTCTCCCTGTTAACTAGAAAGTACAAAGGTTTCTCAAGTCATCCAAAGGTCTGTCCCTGCCTTCAGATCCAAATGTTGAGCCATTTTTGAGGTTCATTTCATTTCAAAGCCATTTCATTTGAGCTTGCAAAATATTCTCAAGCAAAGTCAGCATCTGAGATCTCTGAGCTGCAGGACAGGGAGGATGTGGCTCCTTCCTTTTTTGTCTTAACTTGGAGAAGGGAAAGATCTATTTCCAAAGTCTTTTAGAAAATTATTCCTTCTCTCCTCAGGATGCCTCATATCAGAGGGAAAACAGCTGGCTAGACCCTGGGACTTCATTTTTCAGAGGCATGCTCTCTCACGTGGGCAGACCCAGGACAGCTGTGGGAAGGAAGATGCCAGAGTTCCTGAGCTAAGAGACAGAAAATGGAGCTGGTCACACTCCATAACCTCTGCCAAACAGCCTTCCCAGGGCAAATGCCTGACATCCTCTACTAAACACTGAAAACAACTGAAGAACAGACTAGAGAACACCCAATGAAATTATCAGGCAAAAGATTTGACAGACAGAAGGAAGTATTTTTTCATACAACACATAATTAAGTTGTAGAGCTCCTAACTCAATTGTGGACCTCACTGCTACAGGATGTTACGGTGGCAAAAGTCCAAATATCTCTAGTTGTAACAGTAGTTAGCTAAGCTTGTGGAGGATGAGTCCTTTGGTCAAAAAAGTCTGAACACAACCTATGGTTCAAGAATTCTCTAAGCTCACCACTGCAGGACGTGTGGAAGATACCCCAGGAGAAGCTATCTGCCCATACTTGCCTTTCTTAAATTCTCCTCCTGCATGTCTGCTGGGGGGTTCTAGTGGGACACAGCTTGTCAGACCAAAGGGGCTGGCCCTGCATAGTTTCAGAGATTCTGAAGGGAAGAGGAAAGCTGATGGCATTCTGATAGAGAACTGAGACAAGAGGCTGGTGGGACATACCTTAAATGGCTGAACTGTGCAGCAGGAGGAAGGCAGGTGTGAGAGGTATGGATGACAGTGCTGGTAAACCAGCTTGAATGAACATTAAGCTATGAATGAACAGAATTAGGAGATTATTTTGCTTTTTTCAGTTTACCAGGACTCAGAATAGAACACAGAAGCAAGAAAATATATCTTTTAATAGCAATCAAAAAGTAGAGAGATGGTGTGATGAATCTGTGGCATGTCCACAAGCCTGTCCTCCTCTCAATAAACATTAAAAGGGAAGAGAGACTGACAAATGATTCTCATACCCTTTTTTCAGCCAAGGGAGTTTGCATTCCTTAAAGGTCCATGTACACTGTACTAAATTTGAAACTGATTTTTTTAAGTTGGGTAAGACTGTCTGTATGTAACAGGATTTGTCTGTCTCTGAGGGATGCTCAGGCTTTAGCTCAGCACTGCCTGAGACAGATGGGAGAATTCTGAAGCATAAACACAGTACTTTTACCCACTAAAGGTACTTACAAATGTGTGGGGAAGTATGATCTTTTCTTGTCTATGGATTAAAATGTCATTTTCCTAATTCCTGTTATTTGGTATTATCAAGGCAGCTATGCTCACAGAAACTCAGGAGCTGTAGCTGGACTCCTACAACCATCCCCTCTGCAATAAAAAAGGTGAGTTGTCACTGCTAAGTCTACTATAACTCAGTGTGCCTGTGTAATGCATGAAAAGCCACTCAACTTCACAAGTGGAACAGGTCCAGTGTTGTACATAGTGTTAAACTACACACCTCCTCCCTGCCTGTGTTAACACCTACCCTGCTATCAGGTTTCCTGAACTAGCAGGTTAGAATAATTGACCAATCATCTTCTAAGAAATTTGATAGAGTAAGGGAAAGGGCTGTTAGCAACTGAGAGGAGTGTTCCTCTTTCTGAATCAGCACAAAAGTTGTGCTTTGTAATGATGCTCACAAACAGTATGTAGAAGGAAAGAATATCTTTCAGCTGGTGAGGGGAAGTCATATCAAGGCACTGATGTTTCTGGTCTTTAACAGGCCTGTGGGTCTGTTTATCCAGGCTTTGCTGTACTGCTGTTTCCAGACAAACTGATAATTTGCTTCTACTTAGCTAAAGCTTCTCTAGAGTTTATACTGGATAAAACATCATGTGTCTTTCCTAAAGAGATGACTACTGCTGGTGGAGGCTACTGCATTTCAGTCATGTGCTACTTTACAACCAGTTACTTTTCAGTAGTGAGTGAAGCACATTAGCCTATAGATAAGTCTGTTAATTAAGAGCTTTTAAAAGAGATTTGAAGGTGAGGCCCACAGAAATGCCAGTGTTTTAATCCCAGTGCACAGAAGGGAGATCATTAAAAACGTATGTTCACTTTTTTAAAGAGTGTGTAGAGAAAAAGAGACCCAAGGACATGCTGTGTGGGCACTCTGAAGCTTTGTTTATGGCAATGTACAAAAATATGGGACTTACCATGCAAAATGTCTGAATCATCTTCTACAAAATCAATATCTCTCAAATCCCATTCAGCATAGTTGTCAAACTCCTGTTCAGAGGTGATTAATAGTTACTAACTAGCACTAAAAAAATGGTATCAAGCTTCAGTATGCACACAAGTACTGCAAACAGATATTTTACTCATACACTGGTGCACAAGGTTCCATCCTTGAGCAGCATACATCACAGGAGAGCTTTAACTAGGGAATATGTCATATGCACTCCCATGGCTGGAACAGGAACAGGATGCTGTGGTAGGATAATGAGAATTAATCAGGTAATCTCCATGACTCCCACAGCGTGGTGGAAATTCTGTTCAAATGTACAAAACCAGCCAGACCCTAGATGGCTGAATTCATTACTCCATGGACAGAAGCTCACTCTGCAATAGGAACTGGGGCCCTGGGCCCACAGCTAAAAACACTGAAAACAATGCAGGTCTTTCAGGGGATCTTTGGATCAGGCTCCTGTGTGTTTCTCTAAGGCAAACGAAACAGAAGCATGCTGAAGTGACCCCTTTTGCTCAGCATCTAATTCACAGCATCTAGTCTGCTTACATAAGGGCCATTCATTCCTGGACATCTGGTGGCAGCAGCAGCCTCAGAGCCCCTGCACCTTGAGCTAGGCTCTCAGACTTTCCAGCACAGCTCTGCAGCGCCACCTCTCCAATTAAATCCTTCTGTTAATCACTCAAAGACCTGTAGGCAGGGGCAAACAAGTGTGTGTTCAGTAGCAGATTTAAAATAATGGGAGAAGAGAGAGTCTTACCTCAACAAAGTCAGCTCTCGCTGGCATGTACCCAGCCATGTCCCTGGAGAGCAAGGAGTCAAAAGTTGGCCGTGGGGGATCATCAGCAGCTGAAAAAAAGAAAGGTTTTTAGTTGTTGTGTAGGGCTTGGGGGTCTCTTTTTAATGATCTGTAAATAGGTGTTTCTTTTGCAGGAAAAGTGGGAATAATTAGCTGAAGAAAAACACCCTGGCTGGGCTTTTATGTTCAGAAAACGACTGAGTTGTCTGGAGAAAAATGCAGTAATCTGAGATCTTCAGAGTATTCTCAAAAATCAAACACAGGAATTCAAGGTAATAAATAGGTTATGAAATGTAAACTCTACATTTCAGAGCTCAACATCCCCCTGGTAACCCTCTGCAGATCACTCGGGCTCAGTGTGCAGGTTCTTTTAGTTAATAGCAACAGGGGTGTTAAATCTGCCATCTTCTGGGTGCTGTTTTCAGAGAGCTGCAATTAAAGCCACACAGCTCTGAATTTTTACAGTGCTTCCCAGCTGAGGAGCTCAGTGTTTTACAGATGGCCATGGACCAAGGCTCACATCACACTTGTGAAGGAGCTAAGCATTATAAGTCCCATGCCACAGCTAAAGCAGAGGCACAGAGAATTTGTCTTGGCCCGGGTCACAGAAAAAAATCAATGACAGGCAGGGACAGAACCAAAATTGTCCAGTTCCTACTGCTTTAGCTCTAACCACTTTATTGTGAAATTTAAACCTCCAGATGCCAAGCAATCTTTTTACTGAGCCGTTCTGAGGAGCTTTATAATGGAACAGCTGCTAGACTGGGGGAATTCTAAAGATGTTAAATTTAAGGAAAACTGAAAATGTGTTAAATTGCTGAAATCTGACAGACAGGCAGTTTTAAAGAGAGAGGTGTAAAACCAGCATAGTTTAAAGGGAAGGATTTTATGACCAATCTCATCAGCAGTTAGGCCCAGTACACAGTGGACCATCAGCTGGAAGGTTTTAGAGGTAGAAATCCCTCTCTGTTAACATTAAGGACACACTGTGGTGCCACGCCACGTGAAGGAGCTTCGAGGGAGCATGTCCTTTAAATGAATATGCACATCTAGGCTTCTGCTGTGGTGGTTTCTGTGAGTGACCATTTCCACTGGCTGTGCAGGAACTTCTAGTGTTGGGAACCTGCTGCCTGTCTCAGACCATTCTGTTCCCTCCCTTTTCCCACTGCACTGGCAGTTTTCTTTACTCCATGCACCAATGACTTAACATCGTGCGACGAAAACCCCACTACTGACGTTATCCCTGTCAGCCACCAGAACAAGCTCTCCTTTTAGGAATGAAAGCAGACTGCCCGTGTGGCCCACGCCTTTCTCCAGGGGCTGCTCAGTGCAGTTTGGGGGAGCAGAGGCCTGGCAGGGCAGCTGGGGGGCAGGGGATACTCACGGTGGAAAGGGATGGCGGTTTCGCTGTGCTGCGCCTCCTCCGCCTGCCTCAGGCTCAGCAGCGTGGAGGCAAACAAGGGATTGTTGATAAAGTGCTTCATATAATGCTTCTCACACTCCTCCTTGGATTTGGTACACATCTGGTTGGCCACGTCCTGCCTGAAGCGGGGAGAGCGGGAGGCTTAATGTGAAGAGCATAGAATATTGAGGGTTTTTCCTCTAGTGGGAAAACATCATTTTGGATAAGAGACTGATCGTGTTGTCTGTGCAGAACTGATCTGTGGTGGTGTCTGAATTCACATGGGGTGTACCAACACTGAGCCAACACTTGAGCACTTGAGACAGAGCTAGGGAGCACTTTTTTGGTGGTCATGAGCAATACAATTCTCTGTCTACATGTGAAAAAGTCCCTGTCTGAGGGAACGTATCAAATCTTTTCTATGTTTTAATTTACTATTGTTATTGGAGAGACTGTATACATTTTACCAGCTCCAGGTAATGGTAAATTCTAAGTCTGGAATTGTATTCTGCTTCTCAAGTTTCTCTTGCAATTTCAACTGGATAGTGGTTTCCCTCTTTGTGCAGTGCTGTCAAACAGGGGGTTTTTGAAACACCAAAATGGTTGTACTGAACATATTCTAGAAGTCTTTGCCAAACGTTCTTGAGCAAGTGGTTGACTAGAAGTATGAAGTTTTAATAAAAGTGCTGTATAAGTTGAGGATTTAAAAAAAAATTAATTTCAATTCACCAGCAGCAATCATTTTAATTTCTGTTAATCTGAAAACTGGATGCAAGGGATTCCAGAAAGAAAAGTCAGTTTTTCCTTTCTTTGGTAAAGGCTGAAAAAAGCCAAGTGTTTAAGGAAAAAATTCAGATTACTTGTATTGCTAAGTAGGGCAAAGTGTCCCAGGCAGCACACTTGCAGAACACAACTGCAACAAGTTTTCATTCTTAATTATGACAGCAGTGTACAGGTAAGAACTCACAGTTCTCCTGCAGTGGAGTCTGGAGTTCTAGACTTTTAGTACAGCTGTTTTTTTTCATGAAGGAGAAGAGAGAGAACTTGTGACTACAGATCTCCTTTATTTATAAATGCATAAAAATCCTGCAGCAACAGAACATAATGAAAAAATATTCATTTTTTCCAGTGCTCGTTATGACAGAGAAGCAAGAAACCTCCAAAAGTAACAATACCTGGCTGGACAACTGTAAGCAAACTGAAACCACCCAAGGTAAGAAATTCTGCTGTTGGTTTTTACATAGGAGTAAACTGAGGCACAGAAAATCTTGTGCAGTAGCTCATCTCTTTCAATACCTACCAACTATAACGTGAACTGAGGGCACCTGGTACTTCACTGGGGGTGACCCACATCTCACAAGAAGCCTGTGACAATTTCCTTGTATATCTAACTGCAGATCTGGAAATAGAACCTGCTACCCCAGTTTTCCACTCACTTCAGCTGCTACCTTACTCTCACCCACAATAAGTCATTGAACATTTAATGTGCACTGATGTATTCAGTAAGATCCAGTGAGATGAAAGGGAAAACTACCCATCATTGCATGAAGTTGTCTGAAGCACTAAATTCTCACCAGTTTCCAAATCCACAGTCCATCACAGCTTCCAGGAGAGCCATCTCCTCTTGAGCTGTCCAGTTAGGATCCAAGACAGGGAAATCAGAAGTCTGGAGAGGAAAAAACAAATCAAACTGCTGGGATGCTCCTCTGTTACAACCCACCACACGAGGAGCAAAGCAGTTCTGAACTACAGGGCAGCACAGTACATCATACTGGTAGTTTTAAACTTTTACTGTGTCCCATGAAACCTGAACAAATAAAACTGCTGAATTATTTAGGCCATTGGGTCATCAACTACAATAACAACTACTTTGTCACTACAGATCTTTGGAATACACTGTTACATGTAGTATCTAACAGCTGTAATTCAACAATGTTATGCTACAAAACGCAACAGAAATTACTGTGGATTTTAAAAATGACTCATCTGGGGGAAGAAAAAAGAAGAACAGAGAAATTGACTCACATGGTTAAAGATTTAGAAGTCTAGTGAGATGCACTTTCCTATCAAGGCACAATAAAAACCTGTAGCTTTAAATGTCTCCACTATTCCATTATGTTCCAGGTGGGAATTTTAATTTCCTCTAAGGAAGACCTTTTCTTTTTTTAATAGTTCTAAACCTTTGAATCAAAGAATCACTAAACTTTTCAGTGTAATATCAGTAAGCAAGGGTCTAACTCCTGGGAGTTCTGAAAGCTCAGGTTTGAGTAGGTGTTATCTAAAAGGAGTATTTACCATTATCTCATAAGTATGATCACTTTGATGTTTCTTGTATTCAAATCCTCGTGTGAAGCACTGTGGAACAAATGATGAGCATTATGTTAGTCTCTCACTTCTGCCCTGAGAACATTTTAACTGGTCCTTTTTCCCCTTTTACTCTCTGACCCCTGGGTATCCAAAGCTGACCACCTCATCTGCTGAAGGAGAGAGTCAATTTTTCTGATTTCATTGTATAAAAAACATAAAATGCTAGAAAATTCTGCCTTAAACTTGTGTTAAAACTGTCCTGTTTTGCACCAAGATGTAACCCCTATGACCCAACACACCTTTCTGTTAGGTATTTATGGCAGAGTCAGGCAGGTGAGAGAAGCCTGGTGGTGTGTTTTAAACTGGACTGTTCCAGGAAGAGACCACAGAGATTGAAAACATAGTTTCCCTTTCATCTTGGTTTTCTGTTTAAAAAGCACCAAAATGGTTTGCAGCTATTTCCCACAGTTAAATTTCTGGTGTTTTACATACAGGTAAATGAACAAAAATATACCCAATATTGAAAATACAAGTTTATGTATTTTGTACATATCTGAGCACAAAGCTAAGCTCCATTTCCAGTTTTAGAGGTTACTGCCATTTGTTAATCATCAATAATGCAAACTCGCTTACTTAATAATTAAAACTAGCATCACTTTCTATGGTTATCAGACCACACACATCATTTTTAAAGAACTGTAACTGGTCACAAACAATTATTGTCAATGTTGGAAACTTTCCCTAGATTTTCATTACCATTTGGGAGGAAAACACCAACATGTGGTGACAAATAGTGTTTTTTGATGGCTTTTCTTTTCTATGCCATAGAGAGTGACAGAGGTGGTACCTCCAGACATGCATGCCACTTTACACACTCAGGCTGACTCTCTCTTTAGGTGGCTTTGGCTGCCTTCACAAGGATCTTGAGCTGCTCGTGCCTCAACTCTTCAGCCTCCAACATTTGCTTTGTCATTTCCCCGTCCCTGGGCAAATAAGTGTGTTGCTACAAGTTTCCAGAGACCAGTTCTTAATGTGTTTCTGGAACAGTTTGGCACTGGACAGGCCTTTGATGACTTCCCCAAAGAAATTAATGCCCTTGCTTTTTATCCTTGCACTCACCTGCAGACAGAGGAGGAAGGGAGGAGGCCCACACTCAGCACACTTAACGTAGGGCTCTGTGAGGTACGAGGAGCAGCCTCGGCATGGAGGCTTGTCAAAAGGGTCATCTGTGAAGCCAAAAGTAAATCTCATGCAAGACAAACGAGGCACTGGTTTTGCAATCCCCTAAATTCATTTCTGGCTGGTCATTTTAACTCAACTGTATATAACCTCTCTCCTACTGCAGCTTCCTCAAACAGCTGTTAAATGTCCCTTGTTCAGCTAGGGTTGTCAGAGATGTTGGCACTGCATCTCCACCAGCCTTGATACACCAAGGGCTGGACCTGAACTGGTGCAAGAGTCAGAGCAAAACCTCCTCAGTCGCAGCCTCCTGGTCCAACCTGTTGAGCTGTGATTTGATCCAGTGCCCCTGCTCATGTTCTGTACTGACAACCAGAGCCAAGGCTTGTGGGGAACACTGCACAGACAGCTGCAGTCTCCCATCCCTCTGCCTCAGGTCAGACTATTGCTGTGGCTGCAAAGGCATCGACAAGATGGTGCTGTAACCCTTCCAAACCTCAGACTGCTGAACAAGGAGCAAAACACTGCTCTGAAAGCTTTTCTTACTTTGGTCACTGCA